CTCCTCAGAGTCCCAGCAGGAGGCCAGTCCCTGTGCTCCTCAGAGTCTCAGTTGATCTGGCTCTAACATGTCACTGATGTACTTTGGTCTGCGGCCAAACAGAGCTGCTTTTAAGTCTATTCTCTGAGCCACTGGTAACTTTGCTTTGGTTTAAATATCTTCTCATGTCTTTTATTGTGTATCACCAAACTCTTGTCCGCTCTCTCCACACAGAGCACTGCGCCCACTTGTGGCATGTCGCACCACCTAGGCACATAAATCATTGGGAAGCGAGAAGAGAAAAAAGGAAATAAATCCAAACGAACCATAAATACGTGCACAAACCCCATTACGCACGATTAAATAGATACACAACGTTAATACATACAAATTAATACAGGTTTAACAGCGGTAGAACTATGGATATGTGTGTATTTAAGGTTATAGGCGATGCTGCTGGTCAGAGTAGGACAACTCACATTAGAGCAGTAGTAACAAAGCTAGAATCATGTCTTACCACTTATAACGTGTCTGCGTAATCCCATTGTATCCTTCCGCAGGGTTTATCCTAGTCTTTCACTGCAAATGTCGCGTTTTTGTCTTTGCTTTCAGCGCTGAGCTTCCCAGCGATCATCGGTGCATGTGCGCGTCCCACTCTGACAACAGCGCAGGGCGGACGGGCTTTTGTGGCCGTGACGTAAACTTCCTTCTGGCCTTTTATAAACTTGTCCAGCTCCTTCCACGGCCCAGGCTCCGCCCCTCGAAAGGCTGAAAAAGGGAAAATTCCTCCAAAAAAGCTCCAGAGGAAAGATCATACTTCCATGGGATATGTACCAGGTATTTGGAGCAGAGTGGGAGGCTATATTAGAAAATGCACTGCAAAAACACATGAAATAAGAGAACCTTTATACGTCCCACAGTGTTGTCAATGTTGCAACACCAGTTACTAAACAGTAGGAATGAGGAGCACACAACACAAGATAAATGAACACTAAACCAGGGGAGTCATTTTGTCAGGGGCCGAATAAAAAGACTGCGAAAGCTGGTCGGGAGCATATATATATTTTACATTATGACATTTTTCTTAAATCAAAAGGTGTTTATAGTTTAGAATTAACCAAAACTGCATCAAATACTAGTGAACGCGCTCCCATGTCTGTGTGGAGTGAGAGACAAATGCCCACAACAATCTTAAAGCTCTTTGTGACTATTTCAATTCTGTCTTGGGTTAACATTGTAGAATAAATAAAATTTGGTTGTTTTCTTGAGAAAATAGATGATAGATGATAGATAGACATGGCTTGGTAAGCCCATAACCATCAATGCTGCATGTTATTAATAATAATCTAATATCAACTCAGGGGCCACTAAAAATTGTCTCGACAGCCGGATGTGGCCTGAGTTTAGACATGCCTGCTCTGTACTAAACTTGTTTCTAAATAACTACTACATTCTTTACTAAATAAAAAAACATATAATCTCTAGCTTTAGCATAATAAAGAAGCAGTCTATAATCTCCAAATTTAGCAGAATGAAGAAGCAAGTAGTGAGTACACCATCTCTGACTTTCTAATGTGGTAAAGAAGTATAAAAAAGAATCTCTACATTTGGAATAATATAAAATAGTGTGTATTCTAGTGCAAGAAATGAGGCATGAGGGTCTGGGACAAGAGACCTTTACATGTTACACAGTGGGGAAATGTCGGTGTTGCCATGCACATACTGTACAACAGTAAGAGCACACATGGAGAACACAAAATAGACAGAGATAAGGAACTATCAAAGCTTCTGTGATGATTCATAACACGAGCAATAAGTAAATATCAATCATGTTGAGTGCAGTATCAGGATACATGAAGTAGATAAAGTGACATTCTGAAAGTGCAGAATTGGATATGTTTGCAGTAATAACTATTTACAGATGAATGACAGGAACCACACAGCCCCAAAACTTGTTCTAGCCTGAGTCCTGGATCTACAGCCTGAGTCCTGGATCTACAGCCTGAGTCCTGGATCTACAGCCTGAGTCCTGGATCTACAGCCTCAGTCCTGGATCTACAGCTCTCAATGTAAAGTCCTCCAATACTTTACAAAGTTGTTATTTAGGGCTTTGCAAAATAAGATGAATTGGACATTAAAATTTAATGTACAGGGTCAGCAGTTCTCATTGTGCAGTCTGAGAGCAGCAGGGAGAGGGTGGATCAGTCTGTCCCCAAGTCTGTTCTCCAGAGTGGACAGTGTTCTGCAGGGGTGACAGTTATGGTCCAGCAAAGATGTTAGTTTGTCCAGGACTCCTTTTTTTTTTTAAACACCTTTTTCCTGTCGAAAACTCTCTTTTATTACTGTTCATATCTACATTAGATCAATATTGAGATTTAAAATAAAAATGGGCCATAGAAAACAGAAGCATCCATCTAAAAAAAAAAAACAACACTTTTAAAAAGATTTTTAACAACAAAAATGTTCCCTTGCAAGAAGAAACATATTAAATTCTATTGGCTGTTAGGATATAATTCTACTTCTCTCTACTCGCTAATCTTCTAAAATAATGAAAATATGTTGCTAAACTGTTTTGCAGTGTGTTTCGGGGGTAAAACTCTGGTGATGACACTAATGAAGGCGTTTAGTGCATTCCGGGAAAAGAAATTTACACACAAAATTCTCTCCATGAAAGTCAGCCTCCTCTGTTTGTAAATATTGACAAACGCCAAAATAAGTCTGGGATCTGTTATGACTGAACAGAACCAGCACATGTGGTCTTCTGGAAACTGTAGAATATAATCATTGGTTTATATGAGACCTCATGTGTGTGTGGGTGAATGTGAGCAATGTACAGGACATCCATCTACAGCAGACCTGGGCAAAGCGCGGCCTGGGGGCTACATTTGGCCCAATTCACACATCTATGCGGCCTCTGGACCCTTGTCGTTAACCTCACACCAGTCTGTGGCTTGTTCAAATGAAGCAGGAGTCAACACCCAAGGATTGGAACTTAATTTGTGCTGCCATGGCATGTCAAACATTTATTTTGGATGTATTTATGCTCATAAAGAAGAAAATCTAAATCTGTATACATTGTTTTTGCTTATAAATTGAATAAAATGAATCACAGGTCAGGTTCTTCACCATAGGGCACTATCCCAATGTGGCCCATGAAGAAAAAAAGGCCCACCCCTGATCTACAAGCACTTCAAAAAGTATTCTGTGGCAAAAATTTGATTAAAATCAATGCATTTTTGTACAGCCCTAAATTGCAACAGCAGTCGTCTCGGAGGACTTTACAAAGTTGTCAATTCACCAACAAGAGATCAAAGGATCAAACAGATCGAACACAAATACAATAATAACAAACATAAAGGAGCCACTGGTACATAGGGAGCGGGATGACCAATATGAATAAACGTTAATAAATGTATTTAAATGTCCTCGATCATCACAGAAGAGTCTAATTCTGCTTCTCCAAGGAACAAGTTGAGAGAGGGATCTGCTCCCACAGACAGATCCAGGACTGAACCAAACACAACAATTCCACTGTTACAGTAAAATCACTTTGTAGAATCTTCTTGGAGCAGGATCAAAAAATATGTCAATTACAATGCAGCCAATGATAAGAGAGAGTCTGTAAGTGCGACGCTGTTTCCAGACTCAAAACGGCAACAATTTAACAGCTCAAATTCCTTGCCAGGTTCATGCTCCGGACCATAACATGCTGTCTTCCTCTTCAACATTTATTTGTTTTTAGCATATTATTACTATCTATTATTACAATTATGATCCATCTTTAATTCAGACCATAGACTGTATATATTAACGGACAGAGTCACGCCTATCTCCGTCGTTCAAACTAATGGGCCAAAAATGTGCTCTACTGGAGCTATCCAAAATGGCCGCGAGTGGTCCCGTTCACAAGAAAATTGTGAAAAAACGCATCTGCGCATGCGTCAGTCGGCGCAGCTCCATTCATTTGAACGAGAGACTTCAAAAATTCACAGCAAGTAAACTAGAGTGGACCAAACAAATTCACCCCCCTCAGCATTGACACACATGTGGAACGGAGCTTTGGGCCAAGAGCCAACTTTTGGACCATCTTGCAAAGACGTTTTCGAGAGGTAAGAAGATGCTATATGTTAGCATTGGCTTATTCTACTTCTGGGTCCACCCCCATCGGCCTGGGGTGGTATTGCAGCATGTCAGCGCACGTCATTTTGGCCACTTTTGAGCCGAAACCGCCCCCACTGGTTCGGACACATATAAAGTCCATATAAAACATAACATAAAGCAGACCAAAACAACTATAGGCAAACAACATACAAACATACAATATTTACAACTTAAGAAATAGCCATGTAAGTCACTGTTTGATGCTTTGGGCTGAAAGAGCGTGGTCTAAAAATGTGAACGAGGCCAGAAATACACAATCAAGATTGAGAGGTTCTTTATTCATCCAAGAGTGGGGAAATTTCAGTGTTGACCAGTTACAGCATCAGCAGTTACAGAGCAGTGGGAATGAGTAGCACACAACACAAGATAAATGAACCATAACCCTAAAGTTAACTAAAACAAAATCTCTAACTTAGCATTATAAAGAAGCAAGTACAAAATCTCTAGCTTTAGCATAAGGAAGTATAAAGTCTCTAATTTAATGTTGACTCTGTACATGTTAGAAATAGGAAGTTCCATTTGTTTGATATGAAGATTAGGTGCCCAAGCTTTAAGCAGTAACTATAATCTTTTTTGTTTCATTTTGTGGATGATGGCATAATTTTGTAAACTGCAACACTTGCATGTGCATGAAAGACACATTACTGTGATTATGCCATAGCTTTCACCATTGGGCTTGAGTCTTACCCCCGTGGGGGATATTACATTTTAAAACTCAAGTGGTAATAACAGGTCATGGGTTTTAGATATTGAGAAACTATGTCAAGCAACAGTAGTGACGTCCATGTTCTGTGTAGAGGCCCGTCCTAGGACACTGTGCTCCTCTGGGATCCTTCACGGCGGTAAACACAGGCTGCCCCATGGAGACGCGTGGGTGGACTGCTCCAGCTCCACTCCAGCTCTGGGTGAGAGTTCAGTCTCTTTAACCTCAGGCAACACTGGGACTGTAGCTGCACGTATATATGCTGTTATTATATATAACAGATTATAGATAGAATAGTGTTTGGTAAAATAATGAATACTATACTTAAAATGTATTTTGTGTAGTATTCCGTTACTTTAGAAAAAGTAGTGACTCTATTCTGAATACTTTCATTTATACTTTTGATTATTATTATTTGTATTATTTATATTTATTGTAAATGAATGTTTATTAATAAATCATGAATAAATCATAATAAAACATGTTCTAATTTTTGTAAGACAAGTCAAAGATCCGACTTTTGGATAATCTTGTAAACACGTTTTCAAGAGGAAAGAAGATGCTTAACAAAAGTATTGGGTAATTCTTATTTTGGGTCCAGAACAGGTCACAGCAGCATCACAGCGGTTATACAGGAGTGTTACAGCCGCTGACCAGACCAGGGAAAAGTGAGGCCCCAGAGTCACTTTTGGCCCAATCCAGTTTCTACAGTATGTGACTCTCGTACCTTTTCCCAAACTTCATACTGTGTACATTCTTTCGCGCTGCAATTTTTTTGAACATTTTTGTTTTTAATATGTTGCTACATTTTTACTAAAATGTATCCTAATTCATCCAAGTAAAGCTGCTTCTGCTGCCACCACTGTCCAGAGACAGTTACAGTTACAGATTGCAGAATAAAAAAAGTAAAGTTGAAATTGTATAACTCCTGTTTGTGTCTCTTTTAGGTCACATTTCCAAACGGCCCTGTGCAAAAACACTGTGCAAATATATGGCAGTACAACATGTTCTTGATTTGACAAGAAATAACGTTTGTAAACCTATTTGTTCTATTTGAAATGTTGTTGTCCCGTTCTGGGTGTTTCCACACTGACCTTGTCCCAGTATCAATAACAGTCTGTTTGCACAAACTACAGTCACTTATCAAACACACTCTGCTTCCTACTGAGTAACAAAACTATTCAAGTCACGGACCAATGGAAAAGGACCAGAGGGCCTGCTGCTGCTGCTGCTGCTGCTGCTGCTGCTGCTACCATTGCTTCCGCCCTATTTATAAAAAAAAAAAAAAAAGTAATACTTTTTTATGAATCCTATTTCTGTCAACAAAAAGGTGAACCACACATAAGGCGGTTGCGGCTTTAAGTACCAAAGTGTCATTGTGTGTGTGTGGAGTCAATGACACAGGTTAGCTGCCACAATCTGGGCAGCTGTGGCTTCAGCAGTAGTTTACCACCACTATGTAGAGAGTGAATCAATAATCCCACATAAAGTGAAATACACAAATACTCCTGTCCTGACATTTGTCATTGACTTATGGAATAGATACCAGTTCTGCAGAAGCACTATGTATGATCTCTTAAGTCTTATAAAAAAACTCATCTGGTGCTGTCTCTGGACATGACTTTGTTCGTTACTGAGTCTTTTCACAGAGAAACATGAGACTTTGATGTTACAGAAGTCCGAGTCCGAGTGGGCCGGTCTCCCACAGGACCAGGTCAGGTCACTTCCTGCTTCTACAGACCTCTGTCCTGCAGCTGTCAGCTCTCCTGATTTATCTAGTCCAAGTCTAGTCCTGGTCTGAGTCTAGTCTCTTGTCCAGTCAGTCCAAGTTTAGTCCTGGTTTTGGTTTATTCTTTGTTTGGTCAAGGTTTAGAACCAGACACAAGCTTAGATCTGTTTTGATTGAATGACTCTTGGTAAAAAAAAAAAAACAAAAAAAAAAACACTTAATTCTAATTTAAAGTAGTGAAAAACAAAATCTACTTTTGTGTCAGCGTAGTTTTATAAAGATCAAGGTGAAGGTAAAGGTACCCGGGAACCCATCGCCAGATGTTGATGCTCGGCTTGGTCTGGATTACCGGAGCAGGAGGATTTGACCTATTCTGCATGTTTTTAGTGATCAAGGAAAACGGAGCACCCAGAGGAAACCTACGCAGACACAATGAGAACATGCAAACTCCACTCAAAAAGTTCTGACCAGGATTCAAACTGAGAAGCGAGAATGCTAACCACTCAGCCACCGTGCCGTCCTTGTTGTAGTCTTGCAGTAGTTTTGTTGCAGTCTTGTTGTAGTTTGGGTGAGGGGGCTGCTTCCTGGAGGTCAGAGCTCAGGACGCTGGGGTCACATCACTTCCTGTCCCTCTGCCTCCATCCACCTCCAACTGCTGAGATCTGTCCAAAGCATTATGTACAAACAGAGATGTCACCAAGTCCAATCCTGCTGTTCGGAGGTAGTTACAGGACTTGCATGTTCTCCTTCTGTTTTAATGATTAACTAGTGCATGTATTCTATTGAGATACATATCAAAAACATGTGTGAGTTTTCCACTGGGTCAAAACATGTCCAAACAGTTAAACGCATCAAGTTCTACGCAAGGATATGGATTCTCCTTTGTTATATTATTAACCCTAACCCTTCTTGGATTTCTCACGGGCTGCGACTAATGATTAATGATGAATGATTAATGCTGGTGCCCTGAGTCTGGACTCATGGAGAGGCAGTGTTTTAGGTTCATGCAGCTAAAATCTTGTACTTGGCTTCCTAATGACCACAACAATTCTAAAGTGGTTTGTGAAAGGCACTACATGAATAAATTAAAATAGTCCTTACCTACTTACTTACATGTTTGTTGACATGGAAACGTTGGTTTTTTGGCTATAATTTTGTACAATATGACTCCAAATGTATATGTGTCAGCAGAGAATGTTCAATAGAGAATAAGCTCTGTTTCTACCAGCCTTCTACAGTAACGTTTACAGTAACCTGTAACCAGGTTCTTGTTTAGTCCAAGCTTGGCCCTGCTTCTATCCATAGACAGACCGAGCTAAAGTGTTCTAACTGCCAGTGATTAGCCAGAGTACTGCCAGAGGCCGTGGTTACCAAGGAATTTCCCTGGATACTGGTTTGTTGTGGGTTGGTTGCTAGGAAAAAGACCCGATACTAAATCAATCAATCAATCACTTATTTGTTTAGCAAATTTTGTGTTCAAGGCAATTCCAAGTGCTTCACAAGAGCAATTTAAAAACACAGATCAAAATGCATAACAAACAAAAAGGAATCTCATTGATTCATTGACATGCAATAATTTCAAATTAAAACAGAGTAACATAAAAATATGGGGCTAAAAACTCTTAAAATATTTTATAAAGAGAGAGAGATAAAAAAAAAATAGAATCAGTTTCATGCACATGGTCAGGGTTATGGTAATGGAAACACAACCAGGTAGAGTATAGAGATAGAGATACTGTAGATAGAGAGATATAGATATATAGATATAGATATAGATAGATATACAGTAGATAGATAGATGGGTGGAATATAGACTTAGACTATAGACTTCTCTAACATGAATGAATTTGCCAAGGTTTACATCTTCCTTGTCTTTGGAATGACTTACAGTAAAAATGTATACATTTATAGACAGACAAGGCAGAAATGTCTTTTGCAGCAAGACCATAGCCATAAAAACTTTGGCTAAAAAATCCCACCTTTCGCCAACAACAATTCTAACCTCCAGAGCAGATAACAGATCACAGACATGCGTGTCTGTCACCAGGCTGTAAGTAGGTGCTGCGGACATGCATGGTAAGTTCATCTGAGTGGGATGGAGACTTATAGAAGAACCAGCTGTGTACAAACATGCAATAGTGATTAAGGTGTTTGTAGAAGCAGGCCGGATAGGACCCCCACATTCCACATGTATATGAAAACTATCAGTCACTCTAATCAGAAAACATGGAGGACGCATTTAAGGGGAACGGGTAAAACATGTGTGGGCCGGAAATTGAGGCATGAGCGAGCTGTGATGGGTTGGGAGGAAGACGTCGACGGATAGTCAGAGAATAAAGGCAAAAGTAATGGTTTAGGTCGTCATGGTTAAAGATGGGAGAGGCTTTAACTGTCATGGTGTGGGTTGTGTGTTGTTTTACTTGGTTTTATTCTTTCGCGCTGCAATTTTTTTGAAATATGAGGCAATGACTTCTTGTATCTTTTCCTTTCCTTTCTTTCCTTAGGCACAGGTTCGCAGTCTCTGTGTCTATATGTACCCTGTGCTCATCCTCACTTGTTGCTGGTCAATTGTTTTTGTCTGTCATTTTCCTGGTTCCTGTCTCTGTTTGGATTTTTTTAGTTTGGTTTTCACTGGACTTTAATTTCATTGTCATCATTATTTTTGCATTCCTGCATTTTGGGTTCTCCTTCATTTCACCACATGTCATTAACTGTGTTTAGATGGCAACTTTGGTTATGAGAATCAGAAACACAAAAGAACCACAGACAAGAAAACAACCACATCTCTACCAAAACAATTTGTTGATCAAATAAATTAAATGATCATATGTAAATGATGCTTTTGTCAAGGGTACAGTATGAATGGAACTCAACATAAGCAGACACACAGTTGGTCAAGACAATGTTAAATGTTTAATAAATACATTAAATAAAGTCATGTTAGGCAGGAAGAGGAGAAGGCAGAGGAAAATCATAGGATATAAACAAAAGCCAAGCATGGACTCTTAACAGGGCGTGAAGAAAAACAAACTGGCGAAGTGTCTAATAAAACAGCTGCACAATACTCGAGTACAGCTGTGTTTGTCGCAGGTCTGCAGATTGCCAAGACTGAGGAGCTTTGGAAAAAACAGAGTGGAGCCAATTTCTTTATTTGGGCATTTGTTCCCACGGGGCTAGCTTTGAGCAGTAACAGGGGCAGATGCAAGCTAACGTGTTTCTAATATTCTGGCTAAAGCAAGACAGTTTCCCCTTTGAATGAAGGCAGCCGACGGGCAATCCTTATATGGCTCATATCTGGTGTTCCAAAAATACAGTATCTCAATACAAATGCCAGGATAATAGAGCGTGATAAACCATTGATCTTTTAAGCTCAAAGATGGTGAGTGTGACACAAACGGTTACTGAGCAAGAGACTTTTCAATGTAAGTCAGATGGGTGAGTTGGAGCAAAACTTCGTCCATGAGCACTTCCCTATTGGGCTAGCAGGTTGTCCAGCTGTCCCCAGTGACTCCAATCTGAGTCACTGGGGAGGAATGGGCTCATTGGGAAATCTTGCCCATTCCTCCCTAATGACTCTTCTCTGAGTCACTGGTGCAAACTTTTAAGATCTTCCCACAATTTACATGGGATTTTGTATAAAATATGTTTCTATTTATTTTTGAAGACAGAATCAATTCAAATCAAATTAAAACTGTGAAGATCAGTAATTCTATATAAGAGATTAGCTAAAAACATAAATAGAAAGTGCATTTGGGATATTTTATACATAACACCAAACCAAAGCAGAGAACATTGTCAAAGACAGAAGCAGGAAAGAGACAGAAATTTAGCAAAATATATTTTTTTTGTCATGTTTGAATCTGTGAATGAATGGTTAAAAGGTATTCATTGATTAACCCCTAACCCATGGTAACTGTTTTAATAATCGATTAGGTGAGATTTATCAATTAACCTTTTCATTTTTTCAGGAACTAGATGAAGAACTTTAGAAGAGATGTAGGACTACTACAATTAATGAGAAACTAATCAATTCATAAGTAAATGTACAGGGAGTATAAATACATTATATATATATATATATATATATATATATATATATATATATATATATATATATATGAGGGTATACTTATGTATATATTTGATATACTTATGGTGCGCCTAAAGGGTTACCTTGTTACAAATCCAATGTGTGCATTTATTTTGGCAATATGTGGTTCTGACTAAAGCCAGCTGAATCAGGGGTGTCAGAGTGGGAGTTTGGCCTTGAGACACTGCGTTATCAAAGAGCCACAAACAGAGGAGGAGGAGGAGGAGGAAGAGGAGGAAGAGTGATGGTCAGTGTGACTTTGATCAGTGTGTGGCCTCTTTGAGAGCCCTTTGTGAAGTGTGGAGGCCATTACCAGCAGCAGACAGAGACCGATGCTGTCAGGAGGTCAAGGACTGCAGAGGAAGGTGATGGAGGCTACAACAAGGGTGCATTGTGGGAAATGTAGGCGATGTCCTGAGAGTGAAGCGATAGATCATAAGATTAACTAAAAGGCTGTACATGTTTCGGTTTAGAGCAGGGTGTCAAACTCATTTTGGTCGTGGGCTGAATTGAAAATGATAGGATCAACCAGAAGTATAAAAGTTGGGAAAGTATAAATGTTTTTGACAAATTAATTGTATTTGACATGAGTTTAGATGTAATTTTCTAGTAGGTTTGGATTCAATCACAACTGGGCAAATTATAATAAGTAATAATAAGTAGTATTATTATATAATATTATGATAATGATAAAAAGATCCTTTATAATATAATGAGTGATGTATTGTAAGACTGCTAACAAAAACTATAACTTAAGTATATTGTAGTTAACACTTTAGAACAGACACAATTACAGTTGTTTTTCTGAGGCATAACATTTCATAATAGCTTCTTACCATCAATACTGCAAGTTACTGGGATTAAGATAACTGAAAATCATTTCAGGGGCCACTAAAAATGTGTTGCGGGCTGAATTTGGCCGTAGGAAAACATAAGTCCAAATGCTAACATCAGGGTTGTCCACCTGCCTTTGATCAGGGAAATCAAGAAATTTACACCCAAACTGCAAACCTTGGTCTGTGAAATGCACTACAGATAAATATTATTTACTTAGGACCACTTACACAATAAACAATCCGTCTCATCTATGGCCGCTGACTGTGATGCTTTAGTCACAATTTTAAATGTTTCAGAGAATCTTGACCAAATATTCTTCATGGAATCATCACTTATAAAAAGCTATTACACAAGCAAATTTCTCCAGTATCTGTAAAAACCAGACAGCAAATATTGACTCAAACAACAGTGAGTTTATTCGTAACTATTTATTCAGGTAATTTGGTGCCAATATAATGACATGACATATCTTCTCCAAACAGTACGTTTCCATTGAGACACGAAGGTCAGACAAGAATCCCTCTCCACACAACCAGTTCCTTTGATTCTACTGAATTAAAGCTGAGGTAGTGAACTAATCTGACCACATCATGCCATCTCCATCTTACTATCCCATACTCGCTTATAAAGCTAGATCCCGTCAGACCTCTGAAGCTGAGCAGGGCAGGGTTGTTCATTTACTTGTTTTGACTGTATTTGATCTGTGCTTTTTCTGTATTAAATATGATGGCAATGAATTAATTTATAGCTTTATTGTTTTGTAACATGTTCTTTTTAACTGAGACCCCAGGAAGATTAGAAACCACATTGGTGGAAGCTAGTAGGGATCCCCAATAAACTATAAACAATAAACTATCATGTTGTGATAATCCTATTAGAAAACATGTTGTCTTTTGTGTACGTGTGAGAAAGCACCCTGGGTCACTATTTGACTCTTTGGGATGAGAGCTGATTGGCTGAGTGAGGCCGGTCCTCTCTTTTAGAATTTTCAGTCTGACAGAAACACATATACATGCATGTGGAAACTATGGAAGCTGTTTGAGATGTGTTTTGAAAGCAAAAAAAAGGAATGAAAAATTTGTCAAAATATACCTTGATTTTAGCACATTCTTACTGCCTTAAAACAAGATTTGCCAATGGGATATTGGAAGAAAAATTATCTTGTTTGAAAAAGATACAAGAAATGTTTCCCTTGGAATAAGGAAATAATGCAACAGTCTTTGAAATGAGACTTAATTTCTTGTTCATTGGCAAATCTGAAAATCAGAATGTACTCAGATTAAGCAACAACAAAAAAACACTTTATTAGCAATTACTTCCTCATATATTGTGTATTTGCAGTGTGTAGGTGGTATTTCACAGGTTCATTTTGTAGTCCCCCAACTTTAATCTAAAATATTAAAAACGCTTGTATTTGAACTAATTCCAAAAATGTCCCAAACAAATCAGCGACTACAACATGCTGTCTTCATCTTCATCTGTCTTTCAGCAGAAAACACCTTTTGAATAATCTGAGAAAGAGCTCTGTGAGTTTGGGCTGAGAGCTTTTTCACTCTTCTGTCTGAAAAAGATGATTGAAAGATGCGAGCATAATACAGGAATGTTAAAATAGAAGCAAACTGTAAAGCGAGAAACTAGATGGAGTTATATTACAATTTAATGTTTTTGTTTGTTTGAAAGTTAAGTACCCCAACTTTAATCCCTTACGTCTCCCACCAGCAGAGGGAATAGACTTTAACGCAGCTCTGTTTGTGTACAAGTCTCTCCATGGCATCTGTGACATAGTTAGGGCCGAATGAACCAATTCAGACACTGAGGAGCACAGGGACTGGCCTCCTGCTGGTCCCCAGAGTCTAAACATGGGGAGGCAGCGTTTCAGCTTCATGCAGCCAAAATCTGGTCTTTCTGAAAATGTGAGATAGGCTTCTACTCTGACAACGTTCAAATCCAGGTTTAAACAGATCTGTTTAGCTGTAAGGTACTGTTATTATTGATGATTATAATGCCGTCTTCTTCATCTAACAACTTGCCTTGCCTTCTTTCATTTCCCCCACACAGTAACCATCACACACGCCACTATCAATAAAAGTCACTCAGCGATCATGCAAGAGCCATGACTAAACTCTGGTCTATTGAGTGAAGTCCAATGTCACCGTGAGTCAACAGGACGTGACCGGGACAGAAACAAAGAGATGTAATTCTACTCCAGAGCTCTTCCTGCAGGTGGGAGTGTGGGGAGACGAGGGGGAGGTGAGGGGGAGACGAGGGACTGGACTTTGACTTAAGGCCAACGCAGACAATCATCCTCAACATACGAGCGTTTAATGAGGACGTGAGGCTCATAAACCACAGCTGTGCCTTATATTCACTGTTCGCAGACGGACGCAAAGCGGAAATGCCATCATCTACAACAGAGCAGGAAATTCTCATTAGATCACAGTGGAAAATTGTGTAAAGAATTTATTTCAATAAAAAAATTTAGGCAAGTTTATTTAAAAAACACAGTTCATACACAAGGCAACTCAAAACTGCTTAATAAGTAAGTAATGTTTATTTATATGGCGCATTTTTACAGAACAAGGTCACTCAAATTGTTGCGGTTTACAATTGTTCCAGTTTATCATTCTCTCCACACCCGGTGATGACGGAAGCAAGTTGCCGAACACACTGGCATATCAAAGCCCCAACTAAACACCCACTCACCCAACACTGCGGCACGGTGGCTGAGTGGATAGCACTCTTGCCTCTCAGCAAGAAGGTCCTGGGTTCGAATCCCGGCCGGACCAGGGCCTTTCTGAGTGGAGTTTGCATGTTCTCCCCGTGTCTGTGTAGGTTTCCTCCGGGTACTCCGGTTTCCCCTACCACTAAAAATATGTACAATAGGTCTGGCATGCGCCTCCTGTTCGGCGACCCCGCTCCCATCTCTGTGTGGAGTGAGAGGACAAGTGCCCATAAAATAACAATTGTAAACCGCTTTGTGACTCTGGTCTGTGAAAGGCGGTATATAAATAAAAGCTTACTTACTTACTTACTCATTACATTCATACTTATTGTGCATGTTTTTAGTGTTAGGAAAACTACACTCAGAAAGGCCCTGTTCCGACCGGGATTCGAAACCCAGGAGCTTCTTGCTGCAAAGCGAGAGTGCCATCCACTCAGCCACCGTGTTGGCCACTATAGACAAGATAGAAATAAGCACAAAAGGCATTAAAATCAAAAGTATTCACGGTAAAATTCACGCAAAAAAGTGAAGATAGTAGAAGTAGAAGCCTGTCTCACATTTGCGGGAAGACTGTTCCCGCTGCGTAAATCTGAAATACTGCCATACTTAGTCCTGACTCTGGGCACCAGCAAAAGGCCAGTCCTTGTGCTGAGTGTGACCTTGGTCTGTGCTATGTGCAAATACATATTACTTATCTCTCTATACCTGAGACCATTTATTTTATATTTATAAAAGGAACATAAAAAAAGAGCTAAAATAAACAGTTAAATGTTGGCATTTTGGCACAGGTGAGGTTTGAGTCGTGTCTTTATAAATCTAATGATGAGAGGATTGACCAATCAGAAGCCTTAATTCGCGAGGGTAAACTCCAGCTCGCCTTAGCAATGTAAGGCGAGCTGGATAATAGTAATGCATCTCAGCATCTGCACCGTAACATGGGGAGCACATCTCCCCATGTTACGGTGCAGATGCTGAGACGCATTACTATTATCATCATTATAAAAGTTCTAAAGAAGACATTTAAAAGTCCACTAAATGTTTCATAAAATTAATATTTCAAAATAGTACATTCGCGGCGGTGAAAATGAAATGAAGATGAAATAAAAATGAAAAAGTACATTTGATTGAATTGAATCATAGTTTAATAGTTTGTACAGCTGATTCAAAAACACAGATCAAAGAATCAAACCGTTAAAACACAGGAAATGCAATGATATAAAAGAGCCATTGGTCCATTACGGGCAGAAGTCCATAAATGTTGTTGAATGTTGTGTGTCCTGGATCATCACCACTGTCCTTGGACCCACCTGCATTGACAAGGAAAACTGAAAAAAGTGATAAATTACCCAAGTAAGATTTAAAATAATTGGCTAAAAATGTGGTTTAAAAACAGCTTTGAGTGTGTAAATGACAACATAGACAAAAGCTGTGAAAAGTCGTCTCGCAGTAACACTTGTATTCTTGACTCCATTGAGTAACTTACAGTAAAGATTATACAAAGTGCTATAGATAGAATTACTGCGTGATTGATTTGTTTTACTGCGATATCTATAAAATGATTGTGAGCGTGATTATGAGACGATTCTTTATCAGTGTCTGTGCTTCCTGGAGCTAGTCACATGTTTCCTCCCTCACCACCATCATTCACTCATGTCTTCTCGGAACCCAGAGGAAAACTGTCTCTAGACGTATGGAGAAAATATAAATTCCTGGGATCAAACCTACAACCCTTTTAGCTGATAGGTTTAACAGCCACCCATTCAGTCATGGTTTTAACTCCCATCCAAAGATCATTTTGCCCAACACAAGTTACATAGATTTTAAGTGATTGCCAAACGGAGGAATTGAACCACAGCACACACTATAAAGACATGTGAATGTGAACCGCAATATGATATATAGTTAAAGCAGCTCTGTTAGTCAAAAGTCTCTCCATGGCCACGCACCAAAGTACATCTGTGACATGTTGGTGCCATATAGATAAATAGATAGTAACTTTATTGATCCTTGCAGGAGAAATGGAGGTGTCTAGTAGAAGCAGAAACATACATTCATACAAACAAAACAAATAGAACATTCTATAAATAGTAACAGAACCAGCAGAGGTGAAGTAGCCAATTAGTTTGGACCATTTTCTCTGCTCTAGTCAAGCCCCGCCAGTCCAAGATGGCGTCCTATTCAAATTAATGGCTTGTGCTCAGTTGCGCATGTGCCACCATGGGCACAGAAAGATTCGCTGAACTCACCCATGTTTGGGCATCGTCTGGTCCTCCCTGTTCTGTGCTGTGGAGGAGCTCCCATTATGCTTTTTAGTTTACATTGAGTTATGGGGACAATTTCTGGGTAGCCCGCATTATTTTAATCTGTAGTCCCACGGGCACCCACTGTGTGGCCATGGGTGGGTCAGCTATAAGCTAGTAATACCCTATCCAGATATTATTATAGATCCATGGCTCTAGTCCAAAGTAAAAGTGGATTTTTGCCTGATCCACTTGTTTCAGACATAGACTGTAAAAATGAATGGACGTAGACACGCCTATCTCCGCCGTTCTAACTAATGGGCCAAAAATAGTGCTCTACTGGAGCTATCCAAAATGGCCAAAATCGTGAAAAAATGCATCTGCGCATGCGTCAGCCGGCGCAAGCTCCATTCATTTGAACGAGAGACTTCAAAAATTCACAGCGAGTAAACTAGAGTGGACCAAAAAAATCCACCCCCCTCAGCATTGACACACATGTGGAACGGAGCTTTGGGCCAAGAGCCAACTTTTGGTCCATCCTGTAAAGACGTTTTCGAGAGGTCTGCCAATGCTATATGTTAGAATTGGCTAATTCTACTTCTGGGTCCACCCCCATCGGCCCGGGGTGGTATTGCAAGCATGTCAGCGCACGTCATTTTGGCCACTTTTGAGCCGGGACCCGCCCCCACTGGTTTCGGACCATGAATCCTCTCTGCTCTGGTCAGGACCAGTGTAAGACCATGAACACTGTAAGATAAGATATGCTTTATTTATCTCACAAAGGAAAAATGTACATGTAGTAAGAAAAAAAAACAATGGTAAAACACAAAAAACTGTTTCAGAGCTATTTAAGACTTTCTACCGTTTCCAGCGCATTCAAAAGTAAATAACTCTGACTCTGAGGAGCACAGGGACTGGCCTCCTGCTGAGACTCTGAGGAGCACAGGGACTGGCCTCCTGCTGGTCCCAGAGTCAGGACTAAACATGGGAAGGAAGCATTTCAGATTCATGCGGCTAAAACCTGGAACAGTCTTCCTGAAATTTTGAGAAGTATATATATTGTACAGATCTTATTAAAGAACTGTGGGAATAAAGAGATCCTTTATTCCCACAGTGGGGAAATGTCAGTGTTGCATCACCAGTTACAGAACAGAAGGAATGAGGAGCACACAGCACACGATAAATGAACAATACCTCTATACTGAAATAATTTAAACTCTCTGGCTTTAGCATAGTAAGAAGGACGGATAAAGTCTATGAGAAGGAAGAATAAAATACACTGCAAAAAGTGATTAAAATAAGTAAAAAAAACAGCTCAAATTAGGCCAAATGTATTTATCCAATGGATAAAGCAAAATGATCTTGTTTTAAAAAGCAACAAGAAATGTCTCCCTTGCAATAAGAAAATAACGGCAAATCTTGTTTTAACACAGAATGCACTCAGATTAAGATAAAACCGATTATAACCTCATATTTTAGCGTTTTCTGCAGTGTACTGTATATCCTAGTGTAAGATCTTAAGCAGAATCGTGTGATGACCCAATCCGTCACTGCCCACACTGTCTACTATAAGTCAGTCTTGTCATAGTTTGATCCAATAAAGCCCACATGGTCTGTGGTTCAATCCCTGGCTCATCCCTGGTTTAATATTTGATTGTGGGCTATAATTTCCCGTTGAGTCAGTATTATTAAACTCCTGGTGACTCCTCCCACACATCTGCATCTGCCGTGAAAACACAGGAACGTCATAACTTCTAATAAAAGGAGACAAGTCCCGACTGAGGCCGAGGCTTTGAAGGGACTTCCTGTCGACGTGAGTAAGACGTACAGTAAGAGACCTGTGTGTGAGTCAGTCTGAACCAGCAACCAGCATTCAGAAGTAACTGTGTCGTCCTTGTGAATAAAGAAATTAAATCCATTAAAAAATAAGTCATGATAATACTCATACTGTATGATAATAATGATATAACAATAACAACATAACTAAAATAACTCAAATCAAAATAATCATTAAATCAATAATATAAACAAAAATCATAGACTGTAAATATTAAAACACAAGAAATAAAATTAAATAATTCAATAAAACATTAAAGGAGCAATATGTAAAAATCTGGGCAAAAGTGGTACTGCACTCTCCCTGACCCAGGTTGCCAGATATGCAGACAAATCCAGCTGGGACCATAATATCTGATTAGGCAAGAGTTTTGTCAACCATAAATCTAAAACCAACACCATTTTCACGAAGGCCCCAATAGAAATCCTTGTTTTATTCATTATTTTGTCATTGATTATAGGGCTCTATAAATAAAATGTGA